ATAATGCTATTCATGAATGAATATTTTTTAATAATTTTATTCCAATATAACTTTTTAAATAATAAAGTGTTGAACAAACTATGAAATAAAGTCTAATCAGTTTATTTATTAAAAGACAACTATATAAAAAATTGCATAATTCTATAATACTATGAAGAAATAATCGTTTCTTTGTAAAAGTCCAAAAAACCTTCATATTTAGAAATTAATTTCTCACGAATTATTTACCTATCCCAATTAATTTTTGCTTTACTGTCTTCATTTATACTTTGCCAAATGTGATATGAAATTTTACTACTTTCTTCCATTGCTTTAAAAAGATATATTGGAATAAAAAAAGGGCTGTTTTCTACCATTTTTCGGTATAATTTAGGCAACCAAAAATGCATCAGTTTCCATCCTTAAGTTCTTTAAAAGATCTCTCCCGGTCATATCGACGTTCCGCAGCTGTGGAACATTTGAAGTATTTTGATTTTTCTACCAAGATCCTTCCATATAAAGCTTTATTCGTAATTAACCCAAGCCATGACTAAAAGAGTAGAACCAGTTCGTTCTAATTCAATTGTTTGCTTTCAGAACACGGCACACCCAGTAAATGGTATTTACCATCAGAGGCCGGGGCCCTCCAACAATGTGTCCTCGCAAGGTAAGTCGCCGCTTCTAATTTGTTTGCATTATTTTTATCTATCTACGCATCACGTCAGTTTGTGTCTGTTGTTGAGCATGCGAGTTAACATGTGAATCTCCACTCTACATATCGTGTCTTGTGTACGGAAGTAATTATACAGAGCGTAGGGAATAACATGGCACATCAATGCAATGTTTCAGACAGGTGTGTGGGTCTTCCCTTGGATTATTTTCTTAGAAAAAAATTACAGAATTTTCTTTTCCTCTCTTTTAAATATTTCTATTGAGACAAGGTATTTATTTTCTATTAATTGTAAAAATAATTTACATTACAAATAACTAAGTTTGAATGAGAAAAGATTTATATTGTGTACTTCAAAAGTAGGTCAAACTTAGTGTTCATCTTTTTTGCAAATACTTTTCTAACATATAAGATGTTAAACAAAAGATGTTAAAACCTTTTAAAAACACAGTACTTTAATAAAATAAGAAAAAAGTTCATATGAATACTTATATGTATGAAAACCATTCGTTTCCGAAATACAGGGTGTTAAACCTATCGTAAAAGAATAGGTTTTTGGTTATGTTCAATTGGGTCCACCAAATCAATTCATATTTAGCGATGATAAATGAGTTTAATTAGAAGCAGATATTCAGATTTAGCGTTTTTTTTTTAGAACTACTTCTACGAGAGGCGTAAATTAAAAATGGCATCTTATCTCTCTTTTTTTATATAGTTGGAAACAACTGCCAAGGCAGGACGGAGTCCAATTATAAGGCAGGTATAATACAGATTAAAGAACAGATAACATTTGCATTAACATAATTAAAACACAAGTAGAAAATACACACTATATATAAATACATAAAAATAGCGAGTTAACTTCTATTGAGGATACATCTTTTAATACTGGGAGTATTACAATAAAAAAATATCAAGTTGATCCTGATAACGATGATAATTCGACCATATAACATTTATTGGAGAAAATTGAAGAATATTTGTTCTTGGTGTTTTCAAATAAAATAAATAAATGTAGCGAGTTCCACATCCCAAAATATTAAAATTCAAATACTCTAGTAATTCCCTACAATCAATCATCCCATTTACAAGCTTAAACAGAAACAAAACAGAAAAATAAAGCCTTCTTTGAGCCAAGTCATTAAGTTGAAACCTGGTTAATAGTTGGGATTGAGGGATTCCGCGAGGTGGATAGGTATTATCAGATTTGAAACTTAGGTATTTAAGAAATTGCCTCTGAATATTTTCTAGACTGTTTTTACGAACTTCATAGCCTGGATTCCATACCACATTAGCATATTCAAGTTTAATACGAACTAGTGAATAATAAAGCAGTTCAATAGTGTTCACCGAAAACTGTTTAGAGTTGCGAATGATAAATCCAAGAGATTTATAGGCACTTTTGGTAATGACATTGATATGATTAGCAAAAGTTAGTCTGGAGTCGAGCAAAACACCTAAATCCTTAAATTGGTCACATTTTGTTAAACATACAGTATCAATGTTGTATGCATACTTAATAGAATTAAAATTGGTCTTTTTGGAAAATGACATACAAAAACATTTTTTGATATTAAGTGGTAGGGAGTTAGTGTCACACCAAGAGTTAACCGTTGATAGATCAGATTGCAGTTTCAAATAGTCCTCGACGTTTTCGATACACCTGAACAATTTTAGGTCATCTACATACAATAATGTATTACTGTCAATACTCATATGTATGTCGTTTACGAATAAACTAAACAAAAGTGGTCCTAAAACCAAACCTTGAGGGACACCTGACGTTGCGTGTATATTAACAGACTTGAAACCACGGTACTAAACATGTAATATTATATGAGACAAATAGGACTGCAGAAAATGAGTAAAATTTAGTGTTAAGCCATAAAGGCGTAAATTAAAAATGGCATCTTATCTCTTTTTAATAGGACGTCTCGAGAAAAATTTCCTCTTTGGGGAAATACACAGGACATAACAAACTGTTCAGTAATTTAAATATTGTGCTCATTGAGGATGAAAATAAGAGTTCGTAAGATTTCTTTTCGTACGGGGTGTTAAATTTAAGATTTTTATTTCATGAAAAATATATTTGTTGCTTTTAAAATATTTTAATATTTTCACTCAATTCAACACCATATATTTTGCGTCTTTTTATTCAAAGTATTCAAATTCAATAAAAAAAATATTCGTTCGTTGATATTTATTTTTAAAGGTCCCTCGAAAACATAGGTGCCTACTTTGAAAGTTAAAACAATTATGAGTGACTTTTAGAAATTAAAATATCGATTTGAAATTTTCAGAATCGAGATTTTTTTCAACCTAGAAAATGATAAAATAAAAATTTTTTAAAAATTCAATTTTTAACAATTTTGAGTGTTTAAAAATCTTGAGCGACCTCTAAAAATTTTTTTTTAAAATGATTTTTTGAGGGGGCTCTTAAAACATGATAAACTAACATATTTTCACAAGAGACACGAAAAAAAATATTAGTTTTTTTTTGGGCCACCCTAATATGCAAACAAGATAAGGGTTACATTTGCTAGACAAACAATTTTTTNTACTACATAAAATAGAGCAATAAAAATATAAAATATACTCCAGACAAAAGAACTTAACTATAAACGATAACAGACAAATAAAACAAATAAGCTAACTAACATAAAATAGGGTGGCTAAAAAAAAAACGAATATTTATTTTCGTGTACCTTGTAAAAATATGTTAGTTTATTATGTTTTAAGATCCCACTCAAAAAATCAGCTCAAAAAAAAATTTTTTTGAGGTCGCTAAATATTTTTAAAAATTTACAAAATCGTCAAAAATTGAATTTTTTTGAATTTTTTTTTTTTTTCATTATGTTATCATTTTCTATTTTGAAAATAATCCCGATTCTGAAAATTTCAAATCGATGTTTTAATCTCTAAAGGTCACTCATAATTATTTTAACTTTAAAAATAGTGTACCTAAAATGATTTCGAGCGACCTCTAAAAATAAATATCTACCAACTAATAATTTTTTTTATTGAATTTGATGAACAAAATAGAAATAAATCATGAATCACTTAAATAATTTCTCGAGGCAAAATTTACTGCCACACTGTGAGTATCAAATATTTATCATTTTTTAATTTTTTAAAATTTAAGTGTCAAGTATTCAAATTCAATAAAAAAAAAATATTCGTTCGTTGATATTTATTTTTAAAGGTCCCTCGAAAACATAGGTGCCTACTTTGAAAGTTAAAACAATTATGAGTGACTTTTAGAAATTAAAATATCGATTTGAAATTTTCAGAATCGAGATTTTTTTCAACCTAGAAAATGATAAAATAAAAATTTTTTAAAAATTCAATTTTTAACAATTTTGAGTGTTTAAAAATCTTGAGCGACCTCTAAAAATTTTTTTTTAAAATGATTTTTTGAGGGGGCTCTTAAAACATGATAAACTAACATATTTTCACAAGAGACACGAAAAAAAATATTAGTTTTTTTTTGGGCCACCCTAATATGCAAACAAGATAAGGGTTACATTTGCTAGACAAACAATTTTTTTATGTCATTCATAGAATCAAAAAATATATCAAGTCGATCTTCATATTTTTGATAATTAGAAATTATTTGATATAGGGGAGATATGCTATTAGTAAATTAGTACGAGGTGTGGGTAATTGTAGCAGAGTGAAATCTAAAATTAAGTCTAGGAACATAATATGAATGAAATCCTTGAGACTAACGAGTCTTCACTTATAATTTTAAAAAGGAATATAATCATTGAAACATAATTTGCCTACGACAAAGACTATTAAATTAAAAGAAAGCAATAATTCTTGAGGAAGATAAAATCCATAACTAATAAAATGAATAGTCTTTAAAAATCTCCGTTGTACTTTCTTTAATTGATCATAAATATTATAAATGGGACTCCAAACAACCGATGCATATTCAAGTTTGCAACGCACAAATGCTGCATACAATATATTTAGAACCTTTACGTTCTGAAAGTCCTTAAAATTACGCAAAATAAAGCCTAAATTCTTATAAGCAGATTTGGTTGCTTATTACGAGTATATTCATTATTCGAATACAAACAATAAAATATACGTTTTTTAAAAGAACTTACTAAAAAGGACAAATATTTTTTTAGATAGAAAAACAATCTGGTTTTGTCCAAGTGCTTTTGACACTGCCTTTTCAAAATACCACTATTTCTGAAAGTTTGATGTTTATACATAATTTTTATTTATAAAATAGTACTAATTGAAACAATTGTAGGTACACGATACTGGAAGCAAAAAAGTCTTCGTAAACATGGTGCTGCAAACTCACCGTTTTCGAGATAGAGGGTGTCAAAAAAAAAAAGATTTTTTTTGAGGTTTTCGACAATATCTCAGGAACCGTTTGAGCTCAAATTTTGTACACATATTATCATTAACATTAGCTACTTTTGAGCACTAATTCAGTTTTTATTAATATGACTTATCATTAAAAGCTCTAACGCGAACCGTTTTCAATATAAACGGCGTTTTATGATGAAAAACATGAAAGAAAATGGCAACATGTTAAAAAAAATATTTCAAAACTAAACAAGTAAACAAAAAAAAACACAACAGTTGTTGAAAATGACCTCCTCCTATGGTAATGCAGGCTTCCATCCTACCTACGTCTGCAATAGGATTTGTAATACTCTGAGCATCGAACAGATACACCAGTCACTCAGACATAGGTTCTTAGTAAATGCAATAAAAAAATGGAGGTTCTTATTTAAGATTTCAAAGTTCCCCGCCGCCACACCTACAAGAGGTGGGGGAGAGGGACTAATTTTAACACTGCGGAATGATTAAATTTTGATTAATTACATTTTTTTCGTAATGTTCTTATTTCTCGATATATTTGTTTGTTTCAGGTTAAAAAATACACCAGTTATTATTGTCAATTATGGTACAAACTTGAAAACCATTCTGTACCAAATTGCGAACCGTGTTATCTTCCACAAATTTACAAT